TTGAAGAAAATGTCATGGTTGTATGTGGGCTGGGATACTGCCAGAGCGCCCAGACCTAGACAGGAGGACGATTAGGGTACTCATCCAAAGCCTTTGGCTCAAAAACCTGTCCGCAAGGCAGCGGGGTGGCAGTGATTTAGTTTTACAGAAATGGACGCCATCCCGTTTCAAACCCCCAACCTGGAGGACCAGGAGACTGAGTTTGTCTGACCTCTCACCATTGACCAACCTAGTAGGAGTAGCTCTCAAGACGCTCGGAGGCATCACCCAGTATAGCTCAATGGGTCAATGAGGTACGCAAACCGCCGCACCACGTTAAGGTCCAGTCTCGTTGATTACTTTGGAGTAAAATGAACTGCTAAGATTTGGGTAATGTAAAATAATTACACTACAAACCAGGTAGGCCAATAACCCATCTGGGAAAGCACCAGACGATCGTTTCGCGCTATTGGGGCTCATTAATGGTGCGCATGCCCTTTTCAAGGAACGGAACCCATGACCGATAATGACTCGCACCCCTAGCCAGTAGCTTATGTCACTGAGTTATGGGGGACGATAGCTGACCATCATAGATTGAAATCTAATTGCAACATAGCTGGACTCTGCCCAAGAGTGCGATTGCGCGGGCCCGCTAGGATGTGTTTGAGGCCGATCAGACGCAACCTTTTAATATTTAAGATAACCATGTGATGTTTTTCGGTCGTAGTAGACTACGCATAAACGGCCACGGTCAATTGCGGATGAATCTTGCTGGATTTGCACCAATTGGGAGGGAAACGCAAATAGCATCAAATCATTAAGTGGTGGTGCTCATACACTGAGACACTCGAGTTGAGTGCATGGCCAGCACCTAGCATGACTAAGTTCGAAAGTAAGTGGGTCATCGATCTTTCAAAGCTCAGAGGAACATGATACTATACTAAGTTTGTCTGAGCCCCAAATACGACCTGTTTAGTACGAGTGACACTGGAGGCATTCAGTCATTGTCACCAAGAAAGTTCATTCATTCATGCATTATACACGTCAGCTAGAGGTGAGAAACATCTCAGCTACTGTACCGCAACACATAAAGGAAAAAGAAAATAAATACAACAGTTGTATGTCAGCTGAGCTACCAGCAACGGATAGGCATCGTTCCGGTAAGCTACCAGCCGGCTACTAGGCAAAAAGAAAAACTGTTATACGCTACGAAATGAGATCGTAGGTGGAGGGGGAGGCTAACAGGGATGGGGAAAGACAAAGAAACCCACAGCAGGAACGCCACTGAGGTCGGTTCCTTGGCATGTCAGCAAGTGTATCCAGCCAAACGTGTTCACCGTCTTTTGGACCCCAACCAGGGAGCCGTAACGTTCCAACCGAGTCTAGCTCCGAAGTGAGGGCCTTCATTCTTTTGGACCAAGTCATCGCTTGGCCACCCCTCATCTTCTTCCATCCACACCCCCGGTAAGCAAACAATGCACGTCGCGGGAGTCGGTGGGCTGGCACGTGGCCGAACCATCGAAGACTGGTGTGTGAGATGACGGTGCTGAGCGGTTCATTTCCTTTTCCTGCGCCGTAAACAAGGCGTCGAACACGCTCGTTGCTCACACGGTGTTCCCACCAGATGTGAGCCAAACTGCGAAGGCACCGATGGTCGAACGTAACTAGCTTCTTCAAGTCCGCCGATCTTAGGGGCCAGTTTTCGCAACCGTACAGTAGGGTCGAACGTACCGCTGCATTGTACACTCTACCCTTAAGGGCGAGAGTAATCTCGCGCCGCCGCCATAGGCGGCGAAGGTTAGCAAAAGTACTTTGAGCTTTTACTATACGGTTCGTGATCTCGTATTCGATCCCAAGGGCGCTGATACAACTTTCCTGATAGTTGGATTTCCGAACGACTTCTAGCTGATCCCCATCAAGGGTCAGCGCAGGATGCGATCCCTGCCAATCTTGGAGGAACGCTCTGCATTTCGATGGTGCAAAGCAAAGTCCGAAGCAGGTGACAGCCAGTGCTAATCTGTCCAGCGCGGCTTGGCACGTCTAGGAGCTGCCACAGATGTGGGCAATGTCGTCTGCATACTCCAAGTCAAGATGTTGTCCTCCTGGGAGTAGCTCCACACCTTCCAAGTCATGTCCTGTAAATGCAATCTCCATGACTTCGTCAATAGCGAAGTTGGAGAGGAAAAGTGACAGCGGGCATCCTTGTCTCACAACGCTGGAGATATTGAAGGGTGGCGACAGCTTGCCGTAAGCCCTCACTCTGCCCGTGCTACGCGCGTATAATGATCGGATAATATTTACATATTTCTCAGGCACACCCTTCCTGAGTAGACAATTCCAAAGGGCACATCGATCAACCGAATCGAAGGCACCTTTGATGTCGAGGAACACGACTACGGTGGGCCGCCAATATGTGTGACGGTGCTGCAACAACTGACGCAAAGTGAAGTTGTGGTCGATGCAGCCACGATCCCGACGAAACCCGGCTTGCTCTTCACGAATCTGGCTTTCACGAGCGCCAGTCAGTCTGTGAAGAATTATGGAGGCGAGTAATTTAGAGGCGATGGAGATCAGACTGGTTCCTCTATGGTTGCCGCAGACCGAACGCGAGCCTCCTTTGAAGATGGGAACAATTATGGAGCGGCTCCAGTCGGTTGGGACAGTCTCCTGCTCTCACAGTTTTACTAGTAATTCATGTAAAGCATCAACAAGAGCAGATCCTCCGAATTTGAAGAGGGCTGGAGGAAGATCATCTGGTCCCGCGGCTTTGTTCAACTTCAACAGTCCTATATCATGTTCGACTTCTGAGCGAGAGGATGAATCCAAATGGACAACCCACGGAGCAGGGCGATCACTAGTCGGCGAAGAATCGAACAACTCTAGCCGATTAAATTGCTTTTCAAAATGCTCAGCCCAACGCTCCAAACGTTTTGACAAATTGTGGATAGGCTGCCCACTCTCGTCACGTATAGTTTCACTAACACCATGTCTCCTGCTGCCCATTTCCCGTATCAGACGAAGTAACTTACGATGGTTGCCAAGGGCAGCGGCCACTTCCATCTCTGACGCACGATGACCACCAAGATTCGAGGTCTCTCTTCAGGCTAGCACGGAGCCTTGCCCAGAGCTCTTTGCGAGTTTCATTGTGTTCGCTTCCAGCCGGGATATGCCGGTGAGCATCGATAAGTTCCAGAGACCGAGAAGAGACCCAATATCCATGTTGGCTATTAGACATACTACATGAGGATTTGCCTGCTGCTAGTAAGGTCTGACGAACATGTGACCAGTGACCATCAATGATCTTCAGTGAGCGCTTACTCAACTCGCATGTCAGCGTACTTCGATACGCATTCAGAACAGCTGGCTTCGTTAGTTGGCTGGTGTCAATGCGCTCACAGCGTCGTCGTTCGCCAAAACACATCCGTGTGTCAGCACATACAAGTGCATGATCAGTGTCCACACATGTGCTCCAAATCGAGCGACAGTTCTGGACACAGCCCCTCCAGCGGTAACTGATAGCAATGTGATCGATCTGCGTCCAAGACTTGTTCGAGGCTGGTTGGCGCCAAGTCACCCTCCGGCGGGTGCTGTGTCGGAAGTTAGTGCTCGCAAGAAATAAGCGGGCATCTTCACACAAATGAAGTAACCACTCACCGTTATCATTACGGGAGCCTACACGGTGCTGATCGCCCAGATGCATTTCATCAGTGGACAACTTGCAAGTTGTGCGTTCAGATCCGCCGACAGCACAATAGTGTCCGTGCTTCTTCTGTGGCGAAGGAGCTGGGTCATTTGGCGGCAGAAGTTGTTCTTTACCGAATCATCGCTACAGTTTGCGGGCACATGGGCAGCGATCACGAATAAATACCTGTTAGTCCCACGTGACTTCGAAGCTTTGAACGAGCCAGCCAATCGGACCGCACACATCCGGCTACTGATTGGAGTCCAATCAACCAGAGCAACTTCAGCCCGGGGACTCAGGGCAATGCCAACACCAGCTTGGCTGGTGCTCGAAGCTGCATCGTCACCGGATAGGCGCAATGAGCAAGTGCTGCTGGCGACACCTGAAGGGGATCGCAGAGTGAGCACAGCGCTCGAGTCTTGCAGGCGGATCTCCGATAAGCAGCAGATATCGATCGAGAGGGTCTCTAATGTTCGGGCAATTGCTGCCTGTTGATCGATCTGTAGTAAGGTGCGTACATTGAGGCATGCCAATCTGAAGGAGGATCGAGGGCTCTAAATGGAAGCCGATGAACTGGAATGGACCGCTTGGTTGGACATGGGCTTGTCGACAGGAGAGAAGTGACGCTCCGCTTTAGCATGTGAGTTGAAACTAGAAGATAAATCCCTAGCTAAACATGTTGGGGGAGGGCCAAGAATCGGGGGTTGAAAACTGGGGGGGGGGGTATAAGTGAAGTTGGAACGGGACGGTAAGAGAGAAAAAGCGTAAGAGGGAGAATAAGAAGACGTGAAGGCTTGGGCAGCAGCATCCAAACTCCTATTCACCCTGCTCGATGCAGCAGATAGGGCACCGTTGATTATCCTCTGCGGTGGCCAGAGCATCAAGAAATTGTTTGACGAATGATTCATAGTATTGCGTGGCAGAATACTGTCAGGTTGCTCAGCGCCCTAGACAGGAGAACGATTAGGGTTCTCAACCAAAGCCTTTGGTTCAAAAACCTTACCTCAAGGCAGCGGGCTTGGAGTTGGGCTACAAGGAATCCGTTTTAAGGAATAAGGTGCCACCCTCATTCTAACCCCCAAACTGGAGGACCAGAAGACTGAGCTTGTCTGGCCTCTAACCATTGACCAGTCTGGTATGTGTGGATCTGAAGGTGCAAAAAAACACCACCTAGCATAGCTCAATGGATCGCTGAAACACACAAACCATCGCACAACGGTAAGGTCCAGCCTCATTGCGATGGTCCAAGAAAGTTCAGTGGAGCATAAAGACACACGAGCCATCGCATCATGTTATAGACAACGTAGTGAAACGGATATAAAAACCTCAATGAACTTACTGGCCTCGGCTGCTTTGACAAAGCGTTTTCGAAGAGAGAAGATTAACAGACTAGTTAGCAAAAACTCCTCGGTCAAATCTATGGTGAAAGGTAAGGAGGTTAGACTACAATTAGTATTTACCGTATGCCTCCTCCTCCGATGCTGACAGGGACGACGAAGGCGAGTGGGAAGCGTCGATGTTTACCATTGAGAAGCTGAAGATAGATAAGTAGACGTCAGCGGTAGCAGCATAGTCATTGTGGTGGTGGTGGTGAGGAGGTGAGGGGAAAATATGAGAACCATCTCCTTGTGTGTAAAAAGATCTTTATTCGGAACTCTTAACCAGGGGGCAGCTAACAGAGTCGGGTATCCACATAGTGAGAACGAAACGGTGGTGACCAGGAACGTAATGATGAGAAGATGCAGCGCGAATGACTGCTTCTGTACAGAGGAGGCCTCTCCTCCTCTCCTTAATAAAGCATCGGCCGCCGGATGGGAGACGATTAATCGACCTTTGGCCGGAGAGATGATTCCGTTTTTTCCAACGACAAATATACCCACATGAGCAAACAGAAGTAGCCACAGGGAACCATAATCTGTAAATCAAAAGTGTGAATTCACTGGTGTCACTTACTGCATCGTAATCTTTCAGCCGGAGCTGACAATAACTAGTGAGCAACATAAGAGCCATGATGCCGAGACAGGCCAGCCTTTTGCAGGCACGCCCACCCACCGCTAAGGTGGTGCCCAATATGAGCTCAAAGACTCCGGTTGACTGCATGTACACCTGCGGATTTGGTTGAATGCCGAAATGGCGTAAAGGAGAGACTTCAGTGAAATTTTTGAATGTCTTTAGCTAAATTGAAACCTAGATAAAGCTAACCAGGAATACAGTACTTACCATCTCACGATACAAGGTGACGTTCAACCGCACGGTCTTGACGATTCCAGGTAGTATAAAGAGAATACCTAACACAACCGCAGACACTTGAGTTCCGAGACGAGAGGCCATCTCTACGGAAGAGGAAACAATGACTATTGAGTATATTTACAGCGAAGGATGCCCACGTGCACATATTCAAGTCATGTGATGTGTACTTCCCTTTTTGAAGAAAGATAGAAATACTACGAAGTGAAATCGAAGGACAAGGCAAGTGACCGATCTTTACGAAGAATACAATATGGCTGCAGGTTAAGAATCAAAGGAATCCAACGTGAGCATCACCGGCTATACACGGGTACAATCAATCATAGCCGTTGTCGAAACAAGATAATGATTCTAGCGTTTCACAAAAGGCAGTATAGGACAAAAGAAGTGGAGTAATTTCGGAGCTCAGTGAGAATACCGCCGGTATTTTTATTCTCATTTCGCAAAGTGTAATTATGACCACAGTCGGGGTGCAAGAACGAGACTGAAAGTCCGTTTCTCTTTGCAACTGATAGTCGCGTCGCTGGCTTGCTGAACAACCTCGTGGTGCCAGCTGGGTGATTCGGGTTCTTCTCGTTCCAGCGAATGGTTCGGCGGCAGTGTTCCAGGACGTGGTGGGTTTTCGCCTGGCAGGCGCTCTCCCTATAAAAAGCCACAAATGTCCGCTTAACAACACTGCGACGTGGCGGATGTGACTCGCCACTAAATAAAGTCACTGCCCCTTGCGCCTCCATGAGGCATTGTACTTTAAGGGTGCATTGGGCCCCTGGTCCTTCACGGACCAAAAGGCGTATGAACCATCTATTTGGTCACCGGCTCCCAACGGGTTGCGACGCCATCACATCGCCCCACTGCCTTGTAGGTTAGATCTTTGATCAAAGGCTCGGGGTAGGGCCCCCCCTAAGACAACCCACTACTTCGGCCTGGGCAACCGGGTAGTATCACGCCCACTGACGAATCATGGACCACGCCGCTTACTACTGCCACTGCTATGCCCATCTTCTGTGCTAACTCAACTGCTCAACCTCCACTCACAGATCACCCCACCTCCCATCCTTCACCCACATGCACTCTGATGTCTTCTACTGTCACCGTCACAAACGACCCACGTCTCGCAGCTGATGGAAGTAACAGCCAAACTCCCGATGTTCAATGTCTTACGATCGCAACCGCCTCTCACTCCACCGAAGCTGGTTCTCCATTCATCCTCGCAGCGTTTAATGTTCGAACTTTGATGCAGATCGAACGACAAGCATGTCTGGCCCGTACTCTTGAAACGCTTTCGATAGACATCTGTTGCCTTTCAGAGATCAGATTACAAGACTCTAGCGCCGTCATCAGAATGGCCTCTCCGGTAAACTCTGACGCCAAATACTACTTGCGGCTTTCCGGAGACCCATAATCTGCCGCCACTGGTCAAGCTGGTGTTGGGGTTGTACTGAGTGCCAAGACTGAATCAGCTCTGTTTGACTGGATCCCAGTCAACAGCCGACTATGTGCAGTCAGACTAAGAGGTTCATGTTACGTAAGCGGGCGTCGAGACGTTAAACGTGCCTTGTTTGTCGTCTCCGCTTACGCCCCTACAGACTGCAGCCCGGATGCAGTTAAAGATAGCTTTTATCATCAACTACATGAACTTCTGCGTTCCTCCAAACGGACTGATATAGTCATTCTTGTCGGGGACTTTAACGCACGAGTTGGCCGCCTTCCACCAAGCGAGCACCACCTTGGGGGTAGTTTTGGTCTCGGTGGCAGTCGATCAGACAGTGGAGACAGACTGCTTGCTCTTTGCTCTGATCATCGCTTGTATACTTCGAGCACTAGTTTTAGGCACTCGAGGAGGTACACTGCTACCTGGCGCGCGCCCTCACAAACGCAAGAGTGCTCCCAGCTTGACCACATAGCAATCAGCTACAGATGGCGCGAAAGCGTAACGGACTGCCAATCGTACTGGTCAACTTTACTAGACTCCGATCACGCATTGGTTCGTGCTAAGATTTGCATGCGTTTCGGAGGATCACCTAAGCGCGCCCACTACCGACTGGATGTCGCGAATCTACAAAACCCTGCGATTTTAATCAGGTACCAAGCCTCACTGTCAACCTTGCTTGGCTCAACTATTGACGGTGATCTCGATTCGCAGTGGGTGCATATCCAAGCTGCTTTAGTTTCCGCCAGTATCGACACTTGTGGAGTTACCCGTCATCCACGGAGGCATTGGATTTCCGCCGACTCCTTGTCGCTGATGGACAGACGCCGCTTGCTCCCATCGGATTCCAGACACGTTGAAGAACGCCAATACCTTGGTCGAGAGTTGCGCAGGAGTCTGCAAATGGACCGCGAAGCTTGGTAGTGTGAACGTGCTAGGGAGATAGAGCTTGCTAGTCTCTCTGGTAATACCAGAAAACTCTTCCATCTCATTCGAGGCACCGAAGGTGTTCGATCTGGTATAAGTGAAACAATATGCGAAGAGGATGGCACCCTAATCACCAATCTTCAATGACGGTTGGAGCGATGGGCCGAACATTTTGGCTCGCAGTTTTGTGGCCCCCAGCTCCATCTGCTACCTCTGGCGCTCGCGCTGGGGCCGAGTGGTCTACCCCAACAAACCCTCCCTCTTCCCAGGAAATCGATCAGGAGCTCCGGCACATAAAGCGTTATAAAGCCCCCGGCCGATGGTCTTCCTCCGGCTCTATTTAAAGATGGTGGCGCATCGCTGGTTCGAGGACTCACCGCTTTGTTCTCGAAAAGTTGGTCGAAACACAAAGTTCCGTCACCTTGGGGTGAATTGATAGTCGTCCCCATCTTCAAAAAGGGCCTGCGCACAATCTGCTCCAACTACAGAGAAATAAGTTTAGCCCCCGTCGTTTGCAAGCTGCTGGTGTCCATCATACTTCGCAGGCTATCCCCAACACGCGAATCGTTGCAGCGAGAAGAACAAGCTGGGTTTCGCCCTGGTTGCGGCTGCATCGATCAAATCTTCACACTTCGTCAGATCCTCGAGCTCCGCCATGTGTATCGGAGGCCAAAGATTGCTGTGTTCCTGGATATCCGTGCAGCCTTCGATTCCGTCGATCGTACAGTACTGTGGCATTGCCTTCTGAGGAATGGTGTCCCCGAGAAGTTCGTCTCCATACTGCGCGCTCTATATAGTCTGACCTCGGGCAGGGATAGGGCTTATGGCAAGCTTTCGCCTATCTTTGTGGTCTCCAGTGGAGTTCGACAAGGATGCCCTGTCTCTCCGTTCCTATTCAACTTTGCCATTGAGGATGTCTTGAAGAACGCTCTAGGCGATTCGTTGAATGCTAGCGTTGAGCTCCTCCCAGGTAGTCGAGTTGTTGATTTGGATTATGCTGATGATATCGTCTTGCTGGGTGACGACCCACACGTCGTCCAACTTGCATTAAACCGCTTGGCGATTGAAGCATCAAAGTACGGTATGTACTTTTCGCCATCCAAATGCAAGGCTCTCTTCCAAGACTGGCAGGTGCCTCTGCCTGCACTCATGCTTGCTGGTGAGACACTAGAGGTTGTGGAGGGCCTTGTCTACTTGGGAAGTTGCATCGCTGCTGGCGGGGCTGTTGGAGACGATATTTCGATGCGCATCTCGACAGCACGCCTCGCATTTTCTAGGCTGAGGCATTTGTGGCGTCGCCACGACATTCGTCTCTCCATCAAAGGGCGGGTCTATTGTGTAACTGTTGTAGCAGTCTGGAGATTCCCCGGTTTGCTTGTGTAAAATTCTAACCAAAATTCTATAATTGTACACTTAGGCAACCGGTGTGGTTTGTTGAACTGCTTGCTGAGTTCGGACGCTTTACTTGCTCATCGCCATTTTTTGCTTCACGGGTTTGCGCAGAACGAGTAAGCGTAGCTTTTCGGTGGTTCTGCCTCGGGATCTTACGGCA